TCCCCCCTGAGCATCGGAGCTATTTAGACTCAGCGACCGAATAAAGTTTTCGATCACATTCTGGCCGATTTCCGCTGGCCAGTAACCGTAGTATATTAGGTATATATTCAGCGTCTCGCCGCTCAGCACGGGACCACCGTGGTATTTGATGGGAGTGGCTAACAAATCGTCCAACGAGCCTCCCTGTTGTCCCTCCTCGCGTCGCTCCTCATCGAAGCTGGATTTTGATTCGAACAGGTGCAGCGGAGGCTCAGAGCCGCGGTCGACGACGTCTGTCAGTTTTCGCTCATGGTCACTCAGCTGTCGCTGACGGAGGTACTCGTCGTGCGCCTGTCGCGTGAGAGCGACGTGCACCCGGCCCGCGAATGTGGGGGGGATCAACGAAAAGCAGACGAACATCATCGAAAGAGCGAGCAGCAGAGAATTGGGAGTTTTCTCCATGCTGGGGGACGTCAATATTTGTCGCTGACAGCAGTTCTAGTAGTTGTAGTATCAGTCGTAATGAGTCTCTTTGGCACGGATTGAGAAGCTAACATATTTGATGCCTTTCAGCATGACTACGTACTGCTTGATACAGAACATAACGACAACGCGCGCTGCATCACCCACGATAAGGCCATGATGTGAAGCTTCGTGGTTGTCGCGTCGCGTTGCGTCACGGTTGTAGAGCGACGTCCCCGCGGGGAGCGCCTGGTATTTCAACAACTAACATGTGTATGCAAATCTCAGAAAGTAATTCAACGACGTTCATGTTAGCGGTGCTACTTGGACTGACGTGTTCAATCTGCGCTTCGATAATTGCAGAGGTTGTCGGCGCTGCTTTGAACGGTGTTGTTGTCCTCGACTGCTTGAAATCGATAGGTGTATAGTGGTATCGCTTGAGCTTCATACGGTTCGAAACGGTCCTAGCGCACGAAGCTAAAACCGCATTCTACCGTGTGATAACGTGCTGAGAATGTACATGACGAGCTGCACACATCACGGCGCGATGAGTACTCTAGGTGACTCGTTGCTAATGTCGAATTTCTGAACAGTGGAACTGATTATGCATTGCACATATAAAAGACGCTACAAAGTATACCTGCAGATTACACAGCGTCAGAAGGAATTGGATTGAAACCATTAGATACGTATTGACGAATGTGTAATGCATTTGAAGATTTTATGTAATATTCCACAATATTCAGCATTACAACCATGCAGACGGAGCTCTCTAGGAGGTGGAATTGAGCTGATGGTTATCGATACTGGTAGACCGTAACTCGCTGATACTAGAACTACCGGTACCTACCAATCAACCATGGCTCCCATCCATCACCAACCCCTCACAGCGTGAAGTGCAATGCGCCAATTCGTTACGTAGGAAACAAACGCGCACTCGCAATCTCGCGATCACGCGTCCTTTGAATCCCGAAACTGCGACCTCGGAGGTCCTCGAGGGACCCTGGTTTCCTGGATGCCTCCTAAGCTCTCGTCGTCCTCCTCCTCGTCCTCCTCACCCCTCCCATCGCGCTCCTCCTCCCTTCCGTCGCTTTCCTTCTCCTCCCTCTCCCGCTCCGCCGCGTCCGCCTCCTCCGTCACCTCCTCCTCTCCCTCGCTCTCATGGCGATCGCTCACGTTCACCGTTCTAAGCGTCGCTGCGTTGTCCGTTTGCCTTCCCTTGCTGCATCGACGCCGCTCCCAACTGGCGGTAATGGTTTCGCCAGAAATTTCTAAAAGCGGTTATGCTCGAATTTCACATTTTTCCCTCGTTTCTCTTGACGGTGCCTGACTCACGAATTCATATCCCTAAACCGTACGTCCTGTCATTCTTGTCCTACTCTCATTCCCACGCTACAGATTCCTCTCATTCCAGTTCTCCCTTCGTTTCCCATGTGATGTCAAAACTTTGTGATTTCTATCACTTTAATCTCTCCAACGGTTTCCTTTGTGGATCTCACCGCTTGATGACTTGTCCCCAATTGTACTACTGCAACACTAGCTCCTGGCAGTTTCCATGAAGGCAATTGCATTATAAGCACATGCACGCAGACTTTTGAGTTCCCATGACTCACTCTCAGGCCTTAAGCATGCGCACCAGCTCACCCCCATGCGCACCAGCTCACCCCCATGCGCACCAGCTCACCCCCATGCGCACCAGCTCACCCCCATGCGCACCAGCTCACCCCCATGCGCACCAGCTCACCCCCATGCGCACCAGCTCACCCCCATGCGCACCAGCTCACCCCCATGCGCACCAGCTCACCCCCACGCGCACCAGCTCACCCCCATGCGCACCCATGCGCCCCGGTTGTTCTCCAACCTGTATGCATGCAGGAGGAAGTGTCTTTGCTGAAAGAACGCCTGGACGCTCGGGTGTGGTTTGAGTCGACTTAAAACACAGTCGACGCAAAACACAATCATAAATCAACTCAAAAAAACAAACCTGTACGGTACCCCCATGCGCCCCGGTTGTCCTTCAACCTGTATGCATGCGGGAGGAAGTGTTTTTGTTGAAAGAACGCCTGGACGCTCGGGTGTGGTTTGAGTCAACTCAAAACACACTTATGTGAGTCAACTCAATCGAAACTCACCTGTATCTCCATGCGCCCCGGTTGTCCTCCAACCTGTTTGCATGCAGGAGGAAGTGGTCCTGTTGAAAGAACGCCTGGACGCTCGGGCTTCACGTGTTTCAGCAGCTGTTGATCGCGTGGAGAACTTGATATATGGTAGGGTATGGGGCAGTATGGCATGTTTTGAGTCGACTAAAAAGAAATTGATATATGGTAGGGTATGGGGCAGTATGGCATGTTTTGAGTCGACTCAAAAGAAATTAATATACCACCACCATCACATCCATCCATCTGCAACTCTGTTGTCTGTCTGACCTGCCCAGAATTGCACCATCCGTGCCTCTCTTTCATGCTCCTTTTTCCCAACATGATTCCTCTGACTCGACTGAAATGCAACCACCATCCGTCCATCCCGCATTTTGCATGAAATCTCTTATCCTCTTTTCTCCGTTCCCCTGACTCGACTGAAATGCAACCGCCACACCCTGGCTATCACTGAGGCATCTCAGAAGTCCTCTGTGATTATTCTCCATGCTTTTCCCCTTACTCTTCCAGATTCAATAGTCTTCTCTAATGATTCTTTTTGTTTTTTTCCCCTGACGCTTCCGAATCACAGAGCCACACCCGGGTCTGGACTGGCCTGACTGCCATTCGGATGCAGCCGGCAGCAGCAGCTCTGGCTGCAGCAGTGCCAGCACAGGCAGCAAGAGCAGGTTGAGCAAGAAAATTGCTGCTGGTGCTGCTGCTGGCACTGCTGGTGCTGCTGGCACTGCTGGTGCTGTGGGGAACGTCAATGGTGACAGTAGGTCGCAGCTACCTGGGTGCATACTGCAGAGTGACAGCAGGCAGGCGAGGGACTATGTGGAGGCGGCAGGGTACGACTACTTTGAGAGGAACGGCCGCTCCCTGCCCTTCTGGATGGCCTCTAAGGCTATCAACCAGTGAGTTGGTGTGTGTGTCTGTGTATTTCTGTGGTTGTGTGGGTGGAGCCTATGTGGAGGCGGCATGGTGCGACCACTTTGAGAGGAACGGCCGCACCCTGCCCTTCTGGATGGCCTCTAAGGCCATCAACCAGTGAGTTGGTGTGTGTGTCTGTGTATTTCTGTGGGTGTGTGGGTGGAGCCTATGTGGAGGCGGCAGGGTATGACTACTTTGAGAGGAACGGCCGCTCCCTGCCCTTCTGGATGGCCTCTAAAGCCATCAACCAGTGAGTGGAAGGGTGGCGGGTGGTGGTGGTGTGGGTGGGGGAGTGGCAGTGGGGAAGGAGGAAGGGGAGTGGGTGGGACTATGAGGAGGCGGCAGGGTATGACTACTTTGAGAGGAACGGCCGCTCCCTGCCCTTCTGGATGGCCTCTAAGGCCATCAACCAGTGAGTGTCAGCCTCTCCACCCCTCCCCTATGGGCCATTGTCAATGGTGACAGTAGGTCGCAGCTGCCTGGGTGCATACTGCAGAGCGACAGCAGGCAGGCTGGATGGCCTCCAAAGCCATCAACCAGTGAGTTTTTTTTTTTTTTTTTTTTTTTTTTTTTTTTTTGAGGGTAGTTGCATGGTAGCTGCATGCTGCAGGGGGCTGTAAATGTTTAAGTTTTAACAAAAAAAATCTTTGTCTTTAGCCATTCATTTGATTGACACTTAGTGCCAATCCAGTGTGCCTCCTTTGAGAGGAACTTCCGCACCCTGCCCTTCTGGATGGCCTCCAAAGCCATCAACCACTAAGTCCCCTTTCCTCCTCCTTTTTTCCTCCGTTTTTTTTATAGCGTTTTTTCTTCTGAGGTTTATCTTCATGTTGATTAGATGGTCTGAGAGGCATGTGCAAACCGATTCGTTGCAATTTTATGAGAAGAAGCTCATGTTGTGCTGCAGCATGTCCTTGTGGATGGCATCAGCCAGCCATTAGCCAGCGAGTCCTTCCTCCCTCTTTCTCTCCAATATCCCTTCCTCTTCCCGCAACCACTGCCAGGCTATACGCCAACTGCCATGGCTACCGCTACGTGAATCAAGTCACACGAGCTTTTTTAAGTCGTTTCAAAAGGCAGGAAGGTTTGAGACGTCTGAAAACTCTTCCTCACTCTCTCCCCTCCAATGGCTGGCTGCCAGGCTATACGCCAACCGCCATGGCTACCGCTATGTGAATCAGGACACACGGGAATACAACGAGACTCGCCACCCATCGTGGCTCAAGGTGTGTGTGTGTGTGTGTGTGTGTGTGTGTGTGTGTGTGTGTGTGTGTGTGTGCAGCGGCAGGGGTAACTGCTCTAGTGTGTGGATGTTTCCCGTGTGTCTGAGTGTTCCCGCCTATGCATGTTTGCATCACTCTTCATTCACTGCGGAAGTACCTGGTTCTCTGCCATTGTTTTCCAGGTCCCTAGTTTCGTTCGAACCATGCCTCTCATCCTAGCCCTGAGCCCCTCCTTGCTGAAAAGCGACTCAGATATAGCCGAAGACGCATGAAGCCAGCAACGCGACCCCCTTTCTCCCATGCTTCGTTTCCCCTTCGCCTTTCAGTTGCTGCTCGTTCAGGATCAACTGCGCTGCCTGCTGCTGTGCCTGTGCCACCACCTGTTTCTGAGACCTCACACTTGTGCCACTTGCCTCACCAGCGTTCCCTCGCTCCCCCGCACTCTCCTCCCTCCTCCTTCCCCTCCTTCCCCCGTTCGCCTTTCAGCTGCTGTTACCTCACACTTATGCCACTTGCCTCACCAGTGTTGCCACTTTCCTCCTCCCTCTCCTCCCTCCTCCTTATGCTCCTCCCCCCTCTCGCCTTCCAGTTGCTGTTCATTCGGGATCAGCTGCACTGCTGCTGCGCCTGGGCCTTCTATCTCGACTCAGATGCCTATTTCCGAATGGACAACCACCGCCTTCCCATTGAAGCCTGGCTCGCTGCCTTGCCCTTCACGGTCAGTATATCATCCCAGGGGCTGCCTTCCTCGTGCCCGCTTCTCTACCTCTTTGCTGCCCGCTTCTCCCATTTTTTCTGCCCACTTCTCTGTGCGCATTTCTGCCCACTTTTCCGCCCGTTACTCTGCCCGTTTCTCTGCCCGCTCCTCTGCCCGCTTCTCTGCCCGCTCCTCTGCCCGCTTCTCTGTCCGCTTCTCTGCCTGCTTCTCTGCTCGCCACTCTGCCCACTCCTCTGGCCGCGCTCCTCTGCCCGCTTCTCTGCTCGGCCCTGCTCAGCTCTGCTTCCTGCCTGCTTCCTTCTTTTCCTGCCCTGATTTCTTCACTGCTCCCTTTTTTCCTCCCATCCTCCCTCAACTGCCACCTGACCCCCACCAGGGAGCGTTCAACTGGATAAGGGATCGCTACGGCATGGATCTCACCAATCAGACGTGGATGCCGCAGTTCCCCATTGCCCTGCTGGATCCCCCTCCTGCTGGCGTGGCGGCCTGCAGCCAATCACCCGCTGCCCCATGTGCAGAGGAGCCCTCGGAGGAGCTGATTGGGCTGTTCGCCCGGAATTCAGGGGAGGAGAATGGCGCCCCGGCTGCTCTGTTCAATGCTTCTCTGGAGTCAATCAATGCGGGGGTCATGCTGCTGAGACGCTCCCCCCTCACTTTCCAGGTAGTAAATACGTTATGTGCCGGCTGCTCTGTTCAATGCCTCTCTGGAGTCAATCAATGCAGGGGTCATGCTGCTGAGGCGCTCCCCCCTCACTCTCCACGTAGGCCAAGGTGTTTAGTCATTAGTCTTTGTTCAAGGCCGCTCTGTTCAATGCTTCTCTGGAGTCGATAAATGCAGGGGTCATGCTGCTGAGGCGCTCCCCGCTCACTTTCCAGGTGGGCGCCCACACTTGCTTGGTCCAACGTTCCTCAGTACTAGGTTCCGGCTGCTCTGTGCAATGCCTTTTTGGAGTCAATCAGTGCGGGGGTTATGCTGCTGAGGCGCTCACCGCTCACTTTCAAGGTGAGCGCCCTTTCTGGTTATGCTCAGTAAGACATTCCGGTTGTTCTGTTCAACGCCTCTTTGGAGTCGATCAATGCAGGGGTTATGCTGCTGAGGCGCTCCCCGCTCACTCTCCAGGTGAGCGCCCACACTTGCTTGGTTCAACGTTCCTCAGAACTAGGTTCCGGCTGCTCTGTTCAATGCTTCTCTGGAGTCAATCAATGCGGGGGTCATGCTGCTGAGGCGCCGCCCCTCACCCCCAGGTGGTTGACTGGTGTCCAGCATTGTTTCTTAGGAGCAAAGCATGAGCAAACCCATGGCGCTCTGTACAGCGCCTCTCTGGATTGATCAGTGTGGGGATGATGTTGCCAGAACGAGCCCCTCCTCGCTCTTCAGGTACCCTTCTCTCATCAGGTGCCCGTCAGGGTTTTTTCCAGGTGTTCCTGTCATGTGCCTGCTTGCATAGCCCCTCCTCCCTTCGTCTCCCTTTCCCCTTCACCAAGCCCTCCCTCCCCCCCCCCCCCCCCCCCCTCCCCCCTCCCCTCCTCCCGCATTTTCCTCCCTTGATTCATACGTTTTGATTGTTTCACCTCCCCTCAGTTTCTCGACACTTGGTATAACGAGGAACCTTCTAACCGCCACTTACAGGAAGCCACGTGGGAGCAAAACCGACTCAACCGCATTGCGCCACTCTTTGCAAAACACCTGGTGGTCGTGCCGTACCTGGAGCTCACTGGCCCGGAGGGGCGTCAGGTGCGGCATGTGTGGTCGATGGTGGGTCGGCATAGGGACGAGGCACTGAGGGCTGCGTTGTTGGGAGCGTTATTGGCTAATGAGGTGGCGACTAAGGAGGATGATTGGACTCCAAGAGGGGTAGTTGAAAAGTGGGCACATGATGAAATGGATGCACGGGAATAGATGTAAATTCAAGCTCCAAGGTGTAAATTTCTAGCATATTCTAGATGGGTTCCACTATATAGGAAGAGTGAGGCACTCTGCAGCGAATATTTCTGCAGCCTTGCGGAATCGAACACGCGGTCCAGTCCTTTCCCCCTTGCATCACTGCATCAGCAAACGGCTTTCCGCCATGCGGTTCGGTTCGGAACCATTCCCCCATGTGTGGCGCCCCGGACTCCTCATCACATGTTCGAGAATGGAGCGGAACGAACGGCAGTATGGGATTGGTTGAGCGCAATCACAAAGCACCTTGGGATTGGGTGGTGTGGGCTGTGGCTGTCGTTCCAGCAGCGGACATTCCGTTTGTGGATTGTTTGCATGGTGGGGGGAAGAAGATGAAACGACAAGAAGCGCGGGGGCGGGGCGGAGGGAGGGAAGGGAAGGCGAGGAGAGCACTTTCGAAACACTCGAGTTGATTATGCAAGTGGAACGGTGTACAATGTGCAAAAACGAACATGCAGAACGAGGCAGAGCGGTACAGTACGTTCACTTTAGCAAGAGAAGGTTTTACTTTGGACTAAACGCGTTTGATCAACACTTGATCACCACTAGTCGTCTAGCTCTAGCGCGTCACCAAGGGCGAAGGATGCATGAGAGGAGAGGAGAGAGTGGAGAGGAGCAGCAGCTTCTGACTGAAGGAGAGTGGCCAGCAGATAGCCGAGCCCAAGGATGTGCCTTCCCTGCGGAGATTGCGTTTCACGCCGCTTTTGACGACTGGATAATGCACGATAGCATACTCTGAGAACCACCCTTGAATTCCGCGTCTTCTTTAGAAGAATCTATTTTTGAGTCCTGCTGCTGCTGGTTCCGCAGTGCTGACTTTTTGCGCACCACCGTAGTACTCGTCATTGTTGTAGATTTCCGCGGTGCCGATTAATTGCGCGCCGCCTTACCAGTTCTCAGGGGAAACTAAGTCGGTGTGCCAGCGAGTCGTCATATCGCGTCGTTTTCTTCTCGCGTCTTCTTCACTCCGTTAGAACCGGCGATTTTGCAGGCAGATTCCAACAATAGCATAGCTCTAGCATAACCGCCGTGAAACACTTTCTTGTTCATCGCTACCGTTTCTCAGCTTGATTCGTAAACACCTCGAGAATCGTCTCAGCCATGGCCGGATGACGCTTGTTAATAATTCCTGCTTCTCCGCCGCTCGTCCATGGCCCACATCTGCTTCAGCGGCCACTCCTCTCACGAACTGACACGTGTCTGCTCCAGCTGCCAATCTACGCCTCGCTCTCGAGCCAAGGTACTAACCTACGCGTCGTCAAGCCTTGATGAGCCGTTCGATAATCCTAAATCGTAGATTTTCGTTAAGCGTCGCTACCTACTCGACAGATTTCTTAGAATTCGAGAGTAGTACCGGCAAGACGATTCCTTTCTCTACTGGCGGCCTCGTCGAGTCTGCATCAAACCTCGTCTCGTCTTGTTTGTGGTGGTGAATCAGGCAGATTATTTTCTAGTATTTTCTTGAACAGCGTCGTTAGCGAAAGCGCAACTCTATTAGCGCGAACGATGGTCTTACGTTGCGTTGCCGCCAAGTAGCACCTGAATTCGCGCTACAGGATGCTGTGCTGCGCGTGAGTGAGCTTCGCAAGAAGAGAGTCAAGCCGTCTGCTTGCGGCACTCGTTTTTTTAGAATTCGAGGCAAATTAACGAAGGAAAAGAGATTCGATTGCCTGATTGTTCCACTGCGGTTGCATGTAGTTCTTGAGCATCGTCAGTGGGATTTGATTAGTACCTGCCAGCACGGTAACGGAGAACTCCCAAACGCTACTGCTGTGCGTGCTTGAGCTTCACCCTTGCGATTTCTGCTAGTAGTACCAGTGGTAGTACCTGCTAGTAGTACGTGGTAATTTGCTCCCTGTCTTCATGCTGGCTGCTACCAACAATGACACTGTTTTCGACACTCTCGGTAAAATCTTCCGTACGTTTGTTTCCCGCCAAATTCCTCGCCAGCAGGTGTGCCGGCCTGGCGTGACGCCTAGCCGTCAATCTGGTCTCATTCAGCCGGTCTGCTGTTTGGATCCGCTTGTCAAATTTACGTCCTCGCTATCCGCGACCCTTTTGAGAAGATCAAGAGAGCAATCCGCCAGGAAAGCGATCGCAAAATCCGCGCAGGCAGCACGGTCAGAAACTGTGGCATCAGCAAAGCGAACATCTACAGCAGCAGCAGAATCCCCACCACCAGCACCACCGGCACCACAAGCAGCAGCAGTAGCACTAGCTGCAGTAGCACCAGCATCAGCAGCAACAGCAGTAGCATCTGCTCGTGTGACGTCAGAAGCAGGCACACTACTGCTTGCGGCATTGGCAGCGCTCACAGCAGCGGTAGCAACTCCAGCTGCAGCTCTGGCAGCCATTCAACTGGAAACGTCCCAATTGGGAGTGGCGATACAAGTGGGAGCGTTACAGGTGGGACACACAGCAGCCGATTCAGTTGGTGCAGCCGTGACTGGAGCCGCAGCAGCAGCAGCTGACACATTGGCAGCCGCAGCCCCACAATCAGCAGCAGCAGGAGCAGCAGCAGAATCAGTCATGGCGTCCATTATGTCTGTGCTGGCAGGCCTTCCTTCCATGGGGTTTGGCATCGGGCTGTCACCTCAAGTTGGCATCGCACTCGCTCTCACTCTCGTTGGCAGCCTGAGCACGGCTCTTGGTGAGAACTCTGCATGACATTCCAACAGTTTGACTCGAATCGAGACGCATCAACCTGTCGCCTCAAGTCGCCATCGCCCGCACGCTCACTCTCGTCGCCAGTCTGAGCACGAACAGCCTTGTTCCTCTCGTTTCCGTATGCATCATCTCTGTCAATCGTCTCGTTGCATGCATTAGCGCGTCCTTGCATCCCATGCCCTCCCATCTCCTTCAATGTCCTCCCACCTCCCCCCACCTCCCACCTCCCCCCACCTCCCACCTCCCCCCACCCCTCCCACCTCCTCCCACGTCCCACCTCCTCCCACCCCCTCCCACCTCCTCCCACGTCCCACCCCCTCCCACCTCCCACCTCCCACCTCCTCCCACCAGGCGGTGCTCTCGTGGTGCTTCAAGCTGTGCCCGATCTCAAGCGCCTCGGCCTCCTGCAGGTACGCTGCAGCCTACCCTTCTGCATCTCACCTCACCTGACCGCACCTCACCTTACCCCACCTCACCTCAGCCCACCGCACCTCGCATCACCCTATGCTGACTCTCACGTTCTTTCACTTCGTGTCTGAAGCCATCCAGGATATGTCGGCATTCCCTCTCCTAACCCTCCCCCGCTCTCCCCCCCTCACTCCCCCACTCCCCCCCACCCTTACTTCCCCACTCTTTCCCCCCCACCCCCTCCCCCACCCCGCTATTGGGCTCATGTTGAGCCTTGCGTTCTTTCCCCTCGTGCCTGAACTCATCCCGGTCATCTCAACATGCCATCCTTCCCCCCCTCCCCTCATTCATACGACCAACCGCACCGGCCTCACCCCATGGGTTCAGGGCTTCCCCAGCGGGCGCATGCTGAGCCTCACCGTCTTTGGCCTCGTGCTAAGCCGTCCTGCATCCCCTTCATTCCCTTCCATCTTCCCCCACCCATACACCCACCCGCCCCCATCTTCTCTCTGTTCATCCAGGGCTTCGCCAGCGGGCTCATGCTGAGCCTCACATTCTTCGATCTCGTGCCTGAAGCCCTTTGGTCTGGGTCATCCACCATCCCCGTCGCTCCCCCATTCACTCCCCCGTTCCTCCCCATCCATGCACCCAACCGTTACCCCATGGGTTCAGGGCTTCGCCAGCGGGCTCATGCTGAGCCTCACGTTCTTCGATCTCGTGCCCGAAGCAATCGAGACCATCGGCTTTCCTGCTGCCAACCTATGGGTGAGTGACCTTCATTGCTTGTATTGAAACGTCGCTTGAGCGGACTCAAGTTGTTGCTCATGCTGAGCCTCACCTTCTTTGATCTCGTGCCTGAAGCCATTGAGGCTATTGGCTCTCCCCGCTGCCAACCTGTGGGTGGGTTCTCCTGCTTGTTAGTCCTCCTGCTTGATACAACATCTCTTGAATCGACTCAACAGCTCTGAGCCTCACCTTCTTTGATCTCGTGCCTGAAGCCATTGAGGCTATTGGCTCTTTTGCCAACCTGTGGGTGGGTTCCCCTGCGCGCTCATTCAAAAGCACGCATCTGGGCTTTGTGGGTGAAAGGGCGCTTTTACTACAGCTCCTGTTTCATTCCCTAAGACGATTTTTTAGGCACCTAAGAAAAGGCGCTTTTACTGCAGCTCCTATGTCATTCCCTTGCCTGGCAATATCCCCTTTCCCACACTCTCTCCTCTTTCTCTTCCCAGCTGTCCCCTACACTTTCACCGCTTCACTCTCCCACTCTCTCCTTCTCTCTCTTCCCCACTGTCCCGCACTTACTCCTTGTGCCTCAACAGTTCTTTGGAGGAGCGCTTCTCTTTGCAACTATTGTACACTTTGTTCCCGAGCCTTCCCTCGCGCCCGAGCCATCTGTAGCTCCCGGGCCATCCTCCGAACCTCTATTAAAATACTCATCCGGTCTTGTATCCGAACCTACGTCCGAGCCTGCATCCCAACCTTTGTCCGAACCATTCAAGGAGAGGCAACGGACAGATCAACCTATTCAGCCACCAGCAGCATCAGCTGTAGCCCCAGCTGCAGCAGCACCAGCAGAAGCAACAGCTGTAGCGCCAGCTGCAGCAGCACCAGCAGAAGCAACAGCTGTAGCGCCAGCTGCAGCAGCACCAGCAGAAGCAACAGCTGTAGCGCCAGCTGCAGCAGCACCAGCAGAAGCAACAGCTGTAGCCCCAGCTGCAGCAGCACCAGCAGAAGCAACAGCTGTAGCGCCAGCTGCAGCAGCACCAGCAGAAGCAACAGCTGTAGCGCCAGCTGCAGCAGCACCAGCAGAAGCAACAGCTGTAGCGCCAGCTGCAGCAGCACCAGCAGCAGCAGCACCACCAGCAGCAGCACCACCAGCAGCACCAGCAGCAGCAGCCGTGGCACCAACAATGACACCACCACCACCAGACTCACCGCCTCCTCTCATCCGCAAACAAACACTCGCTCGACTGAATTCCCCCTCCGCCTCCTCCTCCTCTTCCTTCTACCTACCCTCCTCCCTCTCCTCCCTAGATCTCACCCAAGCCTTAGGCTCGGAAAGCCCTGATTTGGACCCGAACCGAGCCTCAGGTTCGGCAACAGCTGGCCCGGTGGAGCGTCCGAACCTGGTCCGAGGCTCAGGCTCGGACAGCGACAGAGAGGGTCGTGTGGTGCATTGGCTTAGTGGGATTAAAAGCAGCGAATGGGATAGCCGAGATGGTGTGGGGAGTGGGAATACTGATGGTGCTCGCGTGGGTGAGGGAGGAGGGAGAGGGGTGGAAGGGGAGGGGGAGGATAGACGAAGATTTAAGGGTGGGACGGTCGCAAGTGGAGCAAGGGATGAGAATAGGGAGAAGACGGTGTTTGATAGCTTTCAGAAACCTAGTGGAGAGAATATGGAGCAGGGAAAGGGAGTGTGGAGTTGGGGGGAGAGGGAGCAGCAAGAGAGGGGGTTGGCAGGGAGGGAGGAGCGAGATGGGGGGGTGGGGGAAAGGGATGTGGGGGAGCGGGAGATGCAGAGGCGGCGGCAAGCGGTGCTGTGGAGTGGAGTGATCACGGCCTTGGGTATCAGCCTGCACAACTTCCCTGAAGGCATTGCTGTGTTCCTGGGGTCCATGAAGGTGAGATGAGAGAGGCGAGGGTGCTGAGGGTACTGGTGTGGGCATGGTTTGGGGGGTCCGTGAAGGCAAAAGGCAAGCAGTGCTGTGGAGTGGAATGATCACGGCGCTGGGCATCAGCCTGCACAACTTCCCTGAAGGCATTGCTGTGTTTCTTGGGTCTATGAAGGTGAGGTGAGGGGAGGGGGTGCTGTGGGTACTGGTGTGGGCATGGTATGGTTTGGCCGGTCCTTGAGGGCAAAAGGCAAGCAGTGCAGTGCTGTGGAGTGGAGTGATCACGGCCTTGGGCATCAGCCTGCACAACTTCCCTGAAGGCATTGCTGTGTTCCTGGGGTCCATGAAGGTGAGAAGGAGTGAGGAGGAGTGGTAAGGTGTCACTGGTGTATGAAGGAGGGGGAACGAGGGTGGGAAAGGGAAGGGGTATGCTGCTGTGGAGTGGAGTGATCACGGCGCTGGGCATCAGCCTGCACAACTTCCCTGAAGGCATTGCCGTGTTCCTGGGCTGGGCTCCATGAAGGTGAGAGGGGGAAGGGGTCCTACTGGTGTGTGCATCAGGCTAGCTTAGCCTCTCCCCATCCCACCATCAGCCTGCACAACTTCCCTGAAGGCATTGCCGTGTTCCTGGGCTGGGCTCCATGAAGGTGAGAGGGGGAAGGGGTCCTACTGGTGTGTGCATCAGGCTAGCTTAGCCTCTCCCCATCCCACCATCAGCCTGCACAACTTCCCTGAAGGCATTGCCGTGTTCCTGGGCTGGGCTCCATGAAGGTGAGAGGGGGAAGGGGTCCTACTGGTGTGTGCATCAGGCTAGCTTAGCCTCTCCCCATCCCACCATCAGCCTGCACAACTTCCCTGAAGGCATTGCCGTGTTCCTGGGCTGGGCTCCATGAAGGTGAGAGGGGGAAGGGGTCCTACTGGTGTGTGCATCAGGCTAGCTTAGCCTCTCCCCATCCCACCATCAGCCTGCACAACTTCGCTGAAGGCATTGCTGTGTTCCTTGGCTCCATGAAGGTGAGATGAGAGAGGCGAAGGCTGTACTGGGGATAGAGTGGGTATCAGGTCGTGCGTCAGCATAGATCAGCCGCCATCCCCCCATCCCATCCCATCCCACCATATCAGCCTGCACAACTTCCCAGAAGGCATCGCCGTGTTCCTGGGCTCCATGAAGGTGAGGCGGAAGGGGTGCTGTGGGTACCGGTGTGGGCATGGTTTGGCCGGTCCTTGAGGGCAAAAGGCAAGCAGTGCAGTGGAGTGGGGTGATAACCGCACTGGGTATCAGCCTGCACAACTTCCCTGAAGGCATCGCCGTGTTCCTGGGCTGGGCTCCATGAAGGTGAGGCGGAAGGGAGGAGGGAAGAATTTATATTGGTGAGGTCACGGCCTTGGGCATCAGCCTCTCCCCTCCCTTTTACCTTCCCTTCCCTTCCCCCACTTCTTTCAGCTTAAGAGTGGGCATCAGTCTGAGCCCGGCCTCGCCTCGCCTCCCATCTCCTCCCCTTCCTCTTCCCTTCCCTCTCCTCACCCTTACCCCTCAGGGCCTGCGAGTGGGCATCAGCCTGGCAGTTGCCATAGCGCTGCACAACATCCCAGAGGGCATCGCAGTCGCCCTCCACATCCACTTCAACACGTCCCCCCTTTGCTTCCCCTCTCCCCACCTCCTCCCCTCAGGGCCTGCGAGTGGGTATCAGCCTGGCAGTGGCCATCGCTTTGCACAACATCCCAGAGGGCCTTGCAGTCGCCCTCCCCATCTACTTCGGCACGCGCAGCCACCACTCTCCATGCCCATCCGATCCTCTCCTCCCCTTTCCCTCCCTACCCCCCTCCCCTTTATCCCTTCAGGGCCTGCGAGTGGGAATCAGTCTAGCAGTGGCCATAGCGCTGCACAACATACCAGAGGGCCTTGCAGTCGCCCTCCCCATCTACTTTGGCACGCGAAGCCGCTGGGCTGCCTTCCGAGCCGCTGCTCTCTCCGGGGCTGCAGATCCGCTGGGAGTCGTCTTTGTGGCTCTCTTCTTTCCCGCCTCACTCGCCCCTGACCTCATCGAAGGGTTGCTGGCTGGTGGTAAGTGCTCTGCTCGCTCCACCCCCCTCTCCACCCTCTTCATTACCCCATTCTCCACTCCGTTATCCGCCCCCGCCTCTACCCTTGGGGACGTCGTTGTGGCTCTCTTCTTCCCGGCCTTGCTCGCCCCTGACCGCATTTAAGGGCTGCTTGCCGGTGGTGCTCTCATTCGCTGTGCTGGCGTGTGCGTCCGCTCCATCCCTCCCCATCCCACTCCATTTCTCTGCACCTCTCTGCATCCCTGTGCATGCAGTGGGTGGCATCATGGCGTTCCTCGTGCTGCATGAAATGCTGCCTCTGGCATTTGAGTACGCGGGGCATCGCAGGGCAGTGCAGGCCATGTTCCTGGGCATGGCTGTCATGTCTGCCAACCTGCACCTCCTTGCACTCTCACTGCCACCGGACATCTCTTTGTGACTTAGACAAAGAGGAAAGCTATCCCATGGGCCATCACAGGGCAGTGCAGGCCATGTTCCTGGGCATGGCTGTCATGTCTGCCAATCTGCACCTCCTCGCACTCTTCCTTCCGCCACACATCTCCTTGTGACCAGCCATGTCATCTCGCCATCACTCCGACCCACCCTCTTGCGCGCTCATTCACACTCACTCTCTTGCTCCCACTGGCCTCTGTCGACTGGGATGGGAGTATGCTGGCCAAGGCAAGGCAGCCACGGCAGCCAATTCGCACTTCCTTGGCCTCTCCATACCTCCACACATCCTTTTATGGTGCTACACGTTTGTCTAGGCAATTATGTGGCGTGCTAATCCATATGCTTTGGTGGCCATGATTGCCGTGCGTAATCACTGTTGGATTGAGATTAACCCCATGGAGCACATTCACCGCGTAAAACACGCATCTTCCTTGTAATATAGCCCATACTACATTTACATAGTATAACCGTCATCATGACATTGTTGGGGGGTGTAGTTGCGCCCTCGTTTTACCGAGTTGGTGTAATGCTGGAAATCATTCTCCACCACGTAAGCCTGAGGCCAAGCAACAGTCTCTCAAACCACACTTGTTGGAAGTTCGACATCAAACCTGTACTGTACTTGTCGGCTGTTCATTTCAGTATTAAATGGCATCCCGTCAATACAGGTACAGTTGTCGTCAATAAAATCCACTCTGTTAATACGCACAGACTGGTTCTCGTGCACTTCGCACCAGGGCGGGTACCTAGAGGTCCAGGCTGGTGGTGAGTAGCGGTTCAAAGTGGGGTAGCAGAACAATGCTGCCCTGACATTCTGCCCAAGCTACACTCGATTTGACACCGTGGCAATACAGTGCTGGCGACTAACCTAGTGTGGCTGGCATAACAGTGTAATGAAGCCGTTGGCATATCTTTGGCCCAATGGTAGGCATTATTTTAGCGTTGTGCGTCGGGTAAAGATTGAAACTTCCTGACTGTCTGTCTGCTTTCAGTGATCGTATGTCAGATCGAGGTCACTGCTGACCGTTGACCTCTTTCAGTCAACGTCCTGGTTGGCATGGTGGTGTCTTCATTCAACTCCTTATGATGACGACAGAGGTGCACAGTGTCTACTTTCCCCGTGGCTTCTCCACCACCCATCCCAACCTAGTTGTTTCGCCCAGCACTGTACAGATGGTCCAAGTCAGAAAATCTTCTACACATTTTACCTACATCTGGCCCTAGTGTTAGGGTAATCGATACAAGATGTGTCATTGTCCCTTCGGGATGGGATTCACATTGTCGTGGAGTGGGGCAAAATTGTCGTTTGGCTTGAGTGCGCATGGTTACCATGTACCAATTCGAATTCTGTCGCCGTGACGCTGCTTTCCACAGTCACGTCTTGGAACCATGACGCGACATCCGCAATGCTCGTTGGCGAAAATCACAGGCTTGAATTTGCTTTCGAAATAGCCAAAACCAAGCCCGTAAGGGTGCAGCAAAGGTTGACGATAATTACTAAGATGTGTTTTAACAGATGTCAATACTGTATCAGTATCAGGGGACGTGCGTGGCAACACTTGTATCACTACTTGTCCACCACACAACACATCTCAATATCCTATCTTGTCGGTACCGATATGTGTCAATGTGCCCCATACTGGGTAGATGGGTAGCTGTGCCGCTATTTACCCTGCCCCTGCACTTCTAAAATAGGCAAACTTGAGATATGCAACAATCACGCACCTGACTAGGGACAGGGGCGGAAAGGGGATTAATGGGGGGAGGTGATCCAAGAGGCAACATATGGGTTGCAGTTTTGTCAGCTCTTTGTGGACACCAGTGAATCTCCGTCTGTTCAAACCCTGGAGTGTTTCTGTGAAATGAATTCAGCGAGCTCGAATTGGGCAGCGCTGCAAATTTCTTTGTTTTGTTTCCGAAATTGTAGGGGATTCAAAGCATTTTCCCAACCTAGTGACCTGAAAAATGAAAATATTTTCACACGGGTTAACTTAGCGAGCTCGACTCGGGTCGGAATCAGCAGTGCTGCAAATGTGCTTGTTTCATAATTTTTTAAGGGCGGTTCATGTTTTCAGACCATGAGAGGTACAACTGAAAAGCAGGTTTGTTTTCAGGTGTAGCGTAATGAAACACGCTGGTTTCAAATCTGGGAGGCCATGATCAGCCAGCCAGGCCATGCCAGCAATGCCACAATACAGCACTGCAACTGTGCGCACGTCCTCCAGCTCCCTCTCCCCCTTCGCTCCCCCTTGCCCCCGGATCATTTGCTGGCTCTGCACGGCACGAAGATGCAGCCACCCAATTTCAAATGATGCGCGAATAGCATCGCTGGCTGATTTGTGGAGAGCATTTCCCTCGCCCCCCTCCCCCCCTCCACAACCCTCTTCTCCCCCCATCCTTCCATACACCCATCTCATTCCACCCCCTTTCCCTCCCTCATCCAAAACTCCATCATAGCCAGCCAAGCATTGCTAGCCTGGAACCCTTCACTTGGCTGCTTTACAGCATTTCAGCACCCCGATTCCGCGTTGAAAGCGCGTTGAAATAGGCCGTTGACCTTAAGCGCCGCGTTGCAAATCGAGGGACTTAAGTTTAGACTCAGAATTGATTGTGACCCGCGTGCGGACTCGTCATATCATCGAATGATGTGCGTTCGCTCCATTCTTCAGTACTTAGTACCTTCAATAGATTGGAAACACGGATCCTGGTCTTTGAACTCCTCCTCCAAGTCTAAATGTGCCACATTTTCGTCGTACGCCCGCCATGAAAACCGCTAGCTCAGATTCCGACTCGCCGAACATGATCATCCAAATTAGACCTAGTAGTCCCGAGAAGCAGCAGCAGCAGCAGCAACAACAACAACATCATACTAGGGAGCAGCAACAAGAGCGGCAGCAGCACCACGAGCATGCTGTTATCTATTCTCCGACAGGATGGGCCCAACCCATAACTACTGCTGCCACTTGGGCTTCGGCTGCCGGAGGATCCAGCTCAGGAAGCGCCGCACGTGGAAATGACGGTGCTGACGTGGAGTTGACGGCTCCTCCGCCGACCATTATGGGCCGGAACCAGAGTTGCACGATGGTTCGCAACCAGCTGCAACAAGCGACGACGGCCGATCAATCTCAAGTGCCCCATCATGAGGGGTTCAAATGGAAAAAGACTTCTCACAAGCGCATCGTGGGTCAGCAAATGAAAAGGTAAACCCCTGCACTTACCACTGTACCTGACAGCAATGAGTGTTGGATGTGAGGGAGTGATAGTCTGACAGAACTTCAGTCTGACAGTGTTGTATGAGAGGGAGTGATAGTCCGACAGTGTGACCGAACGTTCTTCACATCGAATGTGGACAGCTGTGATCACTCTTTTCTGATGCTCCCCTCTCCCATCCTCCCCACATTCTCCCATCCTCCCCACATTTCTCCCATCCTCCCCACATTCTCCCATCCTCCCCACATTCTCCCATCCTCCCCACATTCTCCATCCTCCCCACATCCTCCCATCCTCCCCACATTCTCCCATCCTCCCCACATCCTCCCATCCTCCCCACATTCTCCCATCCTCCCCGAATTCTCCCACATGCTCCCACATTCTGCCGCGGCGGTCAAGCATGGCATGGATAGATGCGTGGCATGGCATGGACAGATGTGTGGCATGACATGGATAGATGCGTGGCATGGCATGGATAGATGCGTGGCATGACCTTGCCAATACTACTACTTCTAGATCTACTAATCTCATATGCTGACTACCTCTTCGTCCTTTCGTGCTCGCAGGCTGTACTTTGTGTGCGCGTCCAAGCAAGCGACGGGCTGCCAGGCGTATTGGCTTCTGAGTCGACTCAAGTGTCTCATGCCCTTGCCAACACTAGTACTAATCGCATGCGCTATCATCCTTTCGTGCTCGCAGGCTGTACTTTGTGTGCGCGTCCAAGCAAGCGACGGGCTGCCAGGCGTATTGGCTTCTGAGTCGACTCAAGTGTCTCATGCCCTTGCCAACACTAGTACTAATCGCATGCGCTATCATCCTTTCGTGCTCGCAGGCTGTACTTTGTGTGCGCGTCCAAGCAAGCGACGGGCTGCCCGGCGAAGAAGACGGAAGACCGAGTGGCGGGAGAGGCGAGGCACCGTCGCTCCACCAGCCTTCCCACACAGAGGCATCAAGGGGTAACCGGTGCCTTGCAGAGACATCAAGGCGTTGGGACCACAACCAACTCAAAGGCCACATTCAGAGCCGGCCTTGCTGCCAGAGCATTCAAGTCTGGAGAGGGTGTTGCAGCTGCTGAGGAGGAGACAGGCAGTGTGGAGATGCCAAGGACTGAGATGCGTGTGGTGGTGAGGACAGTGTACCACGGCTCGCATAACCACCCACCGCCGTCCCCCGATGCTTCTACAGCCCGGCCCTTTCGCTCCATTTCCCCCAGCCCTGCTGTTGCGACCTGCCCTTCTGGTCCAACCCTCGCTCTGGTTGCACCTGCTCCTGCTGCTACAGCCTGGAACCCTGTTCCTGCATCGTTTTCTGCTACAGCCTGCGCGCCTGCCACAGCCTGCACCTGTTCTGCTGCTGCTACAACCAGTGCTCCTGCTCCTGCTGCACTTCCCCTTCCTGCTGTATCCTTCGCTCCTCCTTTGAGCCACTCATCAGCTGCAGCATCTTTCCCTCCTGCTACATCACCACGAGCACTTGATGCATCGCCATGCGCTCTCGCTACATCCTGTGCTCCTCTCACATCCTCCGCACCCATTACGACCGGCGCTTCCCTTGGTGCTGCAACATGTGTTCCCGCTGCTGCCACACTGTCCCATTCCACGTCAGCCTACCTTCCTGCAATGAACCACCCTCAGGCTCTCGCAAATCCTGTGGCATATGGAGCAACCACCCCCCCACCTGGTCCTTGCATCGAAGCTGCCCCATCTTCAGCTGCTCACACACAGCCTTTTTCTGCCGCGTCACCCTTCAAGTAACACCGCGCCGCCGCCTCCTCCTCCGTCCCCTTTCCCTCCATTGCCTGAACCTTCATGCTCCCGATTGGCTCTTGATGCGCCAAACGCTCCCCAGCCTTCGTTCATTCGAGTCGAAGGCCCAATGCGCACAGGAACCGATCAAGCTCGCCCCATGCTTCTTGATCTGACGGCCTCAGCGAATGGGAACCAGCAGAGTCTTGCTTCCAACTGCATGGGTGCCCAAGAGCTCTGGCGTCCCAAGCAGGAGCAACAGCAGCAGGAGCAACAGCAGCAGCAGCAGCAGCAGCAGCAGCAGCAGCAGCAGCAGCAGCAGCAGCAGCAGCAGCAGCAGCAGCTTCTGCAGCACCACCAGCCGCAGCCCGGAGCAGAGCAGTGGCAGCAGCAGCTACAGCCACAACAGCAGCAACACCAGCTGTACCACTACCAACAGCAGCAACTGCATCTGCAGCATCAGCAGCAGCAGCCGCTGCAGCAACAGTCGCCGACGCAACAGCAGCAGCAGCAGCAGCATCAGCAACAACACCAGCAGGTTCAAGCACCCTCAATTCTCCTCTGCACGGAACATCTTCGTCCCCAGGAGACTCCAACCACCACTGGCACAACCACCACCAGCATTCCAAAGTGTGAACCTCACGCTGCAAGCCCTACCGCCATCCCGCTCCCTTGCAATAATCAAACTGCGGTGCCACAAAGTGCAGACACCACTGCATGTGGTTATGCTGCAACAGTCCCCACCTCTCATCAACTCACCGGGAAAAGCGAGCCTGTTGAGTACAGCTGGCCTTGTCAACCCATCCCCAATACTGCCAGGTCACCAGCGCTCAACCCTGCATCAACCCCACCAATGCTGGCTGCTTCATGTGTAACCACCAGCAACCCTGGGGTTACCACTTGTGGCTGTAACCCTGGTGCAGCCAAGGTGGAGCCAGGATGCCCGCCTTGTTCTGGTGCTCCCTGTCATTCGGTCGCGCGAGCATGCAATGTTTGTCATACAGACCCCATGCCCGCATGTGGCAGATATCCCTGGGCGATGCCTGGCCTGCATGATGGCTGGGCCATTGAACCGATCACAGCATGTGATCAGGAGAATGCGGCTGATCCGCCGACCTGCCCTCATCTGATTTTTTCTCAGGACCAGCATCTTCAGTCGGAGCCACATCAGCAGCAGCAGCTGGTGCAGCAGCAGCAGTCCTGCCGGCATCAGCATCTGCAACCGGAGCAGCGGCGGCAGCAGTGGGAGCCGCATCATCCTGAGCAGCAGCAGCAGCAGCAGCAGCAGCAGCAGCAGCAGCAGCAGCAGCAGCAGCAGCAGCAGCAGCAGCAGCAGCAGCAACAGCAGCAGCGGCAGCAGCAGCAGCAGCAGCAGCAGCAACAGCACCAGCGGCAGCAGCAGCAGCAGCAGCGGCAGCAGCAGCAGCAGCAGCAGCAGCAGCAGCAGCAGCAGCAGCAGCAGCAGCAGCAGCAGCAGCAGCAGCAGCAGCAGCAGCAGCAGCAGCAGCAGCAGCAGCAGCAGCAGCAGCAGCAGCAGCAGCAGCAGCAGCAGCAGCAGCAGAAGCAGCAGCAGCAGCTTGAGCAGGAGCAGGAGCACTTGGTGCAGCAGCAACAACAGCGGCAGTTGGAGTCGCATCACCAGCAGCAGCAGCAGCAGCAGCCAGATGCCTACATGGCAGATTATGCAGGCAGCACCATTACGTACAGAAGCAGCAGCACTCTCATACCCAGCCTTCCCGGGCTCGCGGGCCTTCCCGCAGGCCATACAACTCTGCATGGGCTGCTTGCAAGGGCAGGGCACAAGATAATCGTTCCTGATGGTACAATACATGCACCCGTGAGTGCTAGCATGCATGCACCCGTGAGTGCTAGCATGCATGCACCCGTGAGTGCTAGCATGAGCACAGGTGCAGAGTCTAGCTTCCAAAATAGTCGAACCGACACTCGTCCACTAAATAGGGTTGACAGCACGGGCGTGGCCATGGGGAGCATGAGCTGCTGCTCCATGGACTCATGCATGCATGCCTCGGAGCCAGATGCATGCTTCGATGACCTTTTCCTGATGCCAGACGATATGGGAGTTGGCAACAGTGGGGTTGACACTCAAGGGAGTGATGATCCGGAAAGGGTTTCTGTGCCGGCTGCACAGAAATGCATTAGTGACACTGACCATGGTGTGTTTGAGAGCGGTCAAGAGATGTCGTGTGGGGGGCGGAGGGTCTGGGTAAGCTATCGCTCTCACTCACATCCTTAATCTTAAACTTCATTATAGCTTGTTAGGTTATTACCAGCGAGTTTGGCTCGAACGATCTGTCATGCTAATGGTAGCGTCTGTTATTAATGCGCCTCAATGATGATTACTTATGATGAGATGCGCATTCAGAACACATAAGGGATGTGGAAAGGCTTCAGAGCTCCTTATTTTATGTATATATATATATATAATTATATTTCTTTACATTTTTCTTGGGCTCCTTGGAGAACTCACGAAGAAATCTTGCCTCCTTTTCTGCTCTAGCTTATTGATGGGGTATCTCAAAGAGTGAAACAGCGGCATGAGGTGACTAGTAGGAGTTGAGTACAATATACAAACCTGGAAAGTTATGTACCCTATGGAGTGCAACTCTGTACCCTATGGAGTGCAACTCACGACAGCCGAACAACCACATATAACAATTGACACACCCCCATAGGTTGAGTGAGGGGTATGCCATAAGAAACTAGTCCAACCACTGAGGCAGGAGGTCACAAGACCAGTCAACAAAAGCAACAAAGCAAGATATACAACTCAGGGTGGTACGACTAGCCAGCCACGCGACAAACGACCACAAGGCCAGTTCATGATTTCATCCTACATATATATATGCAAACAACAGAGACAAGGCTAAATCAAAGCAGAACCAATACGAACAAGACCAAGCACTGAGCAGAACCTGTGGTGGTCACCAGACGGGAGAGCCTCGGTGAAGAATTCTGCATGGTTGGCCACTGAGGCCACAAAAACAAGCGTGCCTGGCCGCGTCGCTGAAGCTCTCGTAGCTGAAAGTACCGCAGGTCAATGTGCTTCACTCTTCCCACAGTAGCCCTGAGAAGATCCATAGGTCTGGAGGTTGTCCGCCCATGACGCGTTAGTGTGCCCGGTAAGTCGCACTGGCTGTAGACCTCCAAGCACAAGCCCAATGTCTGATGTACTCGCCAGGTACTTCGCTACCCTACCAGTGAACGGGAGGGTGTCTCCAAGTCGCAACAAAGCGATCCATGATGCTGGATAGGCGAGGTCCGGACGATTGCAGGTCATATGTACATGAGGCAACCCACAAGCTCTGCGTATGGACCACTCGGCTCAACCGGCTCGTCAGGAACAGGAGCCGTGAGCGAATGACCGACAGCGAGAGGAGTGGGCTTGGAGGAGAACTGAAGGTCGAACCGCTGAAGGACGTGCTGCACCATGTGTGACTGAGTCAGAGGTATGGTGCGAGTGGCTTTGTCCCCGGTAATCTGCAAGCCAAGGTAGCTGCGCAATTCACCAAGGTCAGTGCACGCGTGTCTTTTCAGCAGCACGGCATTCATTGAAGCCAAAGCAACACTGTCTGCAGTAGCGAAGATTAGATCGTCGACGTACACGAGGGCGAAGAAAGGAGTGGACCCAGAACGAACGAACAGCGGCTGGTCGGCGGACGAAGGACGGAACCCAAGGCCAGCAAGAGTGGTGCGCAGGGAGTCGTGCCACTCACGAGGTGCCTAGCGCAGTCCGTAGACTGGTCGTCTCAGGCTCCACTGGGTCCCAGACGGGAAAGTGCCAGTGAAGCCAGGAGGACGGCGTAGCCAGATCTCCTCGTGCAGGCTGCCTTGGAGGAAGGCAGTGGAAAATTCTAGCGACGTGTAGTAGCACCCGAAGAGTGGTCATCTTCGGGGTGGGGAAGAAGGTCTGAAAGAAGTCGACTCCCTCACACAGACTGAAGCATCTCGCCACGTAGCGCGCCTTGAAGAGAGGCGACGATCTAGGCGGCGGCTTCAACTTGAAGATCCACATGTCATCGACTACGTTCGCATGGGGAGGGGGAACTGCGCCGACGTACATGCCTGTGGACCTCCAAGCCGCCATCTCTGCGTCCATGGCTGCATCCACTGAGAGGCCCACTGTACCAACACTGCCTCAGTGTAAGTACAAGGAGTCGGGATGTCTGGAGCGTCAGGATCTCCTTCATGGGCTAGCAGCGTGACACAGAGATGGGGAGAATGCAATGAACTGCAGCTCAAACTGCCTGTCCTCTAGGACGTCACAACCAAGGGCAAACACACCCCCAGCTGACAGAGGACGGGAAGGATGAGCAGCCACCAAGCGGGTGGCATAGTCAAGGCGGCGGGTGGCGGCAAAGTCAGTGACCGCGGAAACAAGAGCCGAGACAGACGACGGAGAGGCAGTAGGTTCCGTCACAAGAGAGGAGAGAACACGTGAGACAACTGTTAGAATTTATATGTAACTGCCTGTAGCTGTAGTTTAGTGTAGTTATTATAAACTGTTGGTGGTGCACCTTCTTTGCATGCTCTGTTTACTATATGTACCCTAGTGCTATAGTGAACATCACTTTTCCCATTCTCGACTCTCACCTTGGCACAACCTCCTCGACTTCCCCTAGGCCTAGGCTACTAAGCCTAGGCCCTACCTAAAACCTAAGCTTACTCTTACTTAGTAACTCAACATGGCATTAGAGCGAGTTACGTCCTGGCCTGTGGGCCCGCCTCACGCTTCCGCTGCTGTTTTTCCGGTCGCGCGCCTCGGGCGCGTGGCGATTTTCGTCCTGTCCCGCCCCCGGGTGGCGAGTGACATCTTTTCTGCCCGTCGCGCGCCCCGTGGCACGCGACGGTGCCCTGCCCGTCGTGCGCCCCGTGGCACGCGACGGTGCCCTGCCCGTCGTGCGCCCCGTGGCACACGACGGTGCCCTAAACCTGCCCGTCGTGCGCCCCGTGGCACGCGACGGTGCCCTGCCCGTCATGCGCCCCGTGGCACGCGACGGTGCCCTGCCCGTCGTGCGCCCCGTGGCATGCGACGGTGCCCTTAACTGCCCGTCACGTGCCCCGTGGTGCGCGACGGTGCCCTGAGCCGCCGCGGAACCGCCCCTGGCGCCTGCGACGGTGTCCTGAGCCGCCGCGTACCCGCCCCTGGCGCACTCGGCGGTGCCCCTGCCTCACCCGCGCCTGCACTCGCTGCAGCCGCCCCTGCACCACCCGGCGCCTGCCCTTGGAGCAGCCGCCCCCGCTCCTGCACTCGGTGCAGCCGCCTCTGCCTCACCCCGCGCCTGCACTCACTGCAGCCGCCCCTGACCTACCCGCGCCGACCCTCTGTAGCCGCTCTGCGGCTTTCTCCCCGCCCACCCCCTCCTCCTTCGTCTCCCTGCAGCCGTGGGGGGGAGGGTATGGGGGTGGCGGGTGTTGGGGTGATGGGTGGTGTGCTTCCCTTCCCCTCCTCCTCCTTTCGTTCCCACTGCTGCAGCTGCCGCTGGGGGGGAGGGTGTGAGGGTGTGGGGGAGCCGGGGGAGTGGCACTGGGGTGGCGGGTGTGAGACCAACCAGCAGCCGTCCCTCCACCTCTCCTCTCTTCCCCCCTCTGCTGCTCCTGCAGCAGTGTGGGGGGGAGGGGGAGGGGGAGGGTGAGGAAATGGAGGGGGTGACCAGCCAGAGCCAGCCCGCCTCCTCACTCTCCCTGCTGCCCCTCCTGTGGTTGGGGGGGGAAGAGAGTAAGGGGGTGGCAGGAATTTCTTGCTGTCGCCTGTCCCTTTGCTGCTGTACCTGCTCTGTTACCGTACCTGCTGTTGCTGTTGCTGGTATACCCCTGCAGGTTGTGTTCTGCACAAACTCCTGCTGCAGGCAGTTATGGGGGAGTGTTAGAATTTATATGTAACTGCCTGTAGCTGTAGTTTAGTGTAGTTATTATAAACTGTTGGTGGTGCACCTTCTTTGCATGCTCTGTTTACTATATGTACCCTAGTGCTATAGTGAACATCACTTTTCCCATTCTCGACTCTCACCTTGGCACAACCTCCTCGACTTCCCCTAGGCCTAGGCTACTTAGCCTAGGCCCTACCTAAAACCTAAGCTTACTCTTACTTAGTAACTCAACAACAACAAGGCAAGCAGTACGGCAGTAGTTAATGAGAGGGTGGGAGGAAACAGCGAGAGCTGACGACGGAGGCAACGGGAGGACAAACGAAAGCGGAGAACGAGGAGGGCTAGGACAAAGTATCAGAACGGAGGTCCCGAACAGGAGACGAGTGACGAGCATCAGGGGAACAACAAAAGCTCCAAAGGGACTGAACAACGAGAGGAGATGGCCGTGACCAAGGAGGAGAGCGAGCCGGGGACGAATCCGGAGGAGGAAACATAGGACTGTGAGCAGGAGGAGACGATGAGCGGTATGGAGAAGGGGAAGGAAAGCCAGGGGTCCGAAGACCATTGCAACAGCGGCTGCTGCGGCGTCTGTGGCTGATCCTGCTGCTGCTGAAACCTCGTCTGGTTTCCGCACCGCCATTCCGCAGTGTGTGGAGTCCTTGCTCCAGTGTTGACAGTCGTTGTAGTAGGTGCTCCAGTGCGACGTACTGGTTGTCGTCATTGCCTCCGAGTTCGCAGCAAGGTTAGTCTGAGCTTCAGCCGTCAGATTTGTCTGACCTCCTGTTCTTTCGGCCATCTTGACATGCGACGTGTGCCGGTCGCCACTTTCGGTTCGCAAGAACTTTCGAAAGTGGGGATGCAAAGAATCCCTAAGTCGCTCTCATACCAT